CGGGACCTCCCGCCCCGCCCTTCTGCGCCCGCCCACCCCAGTGCCAGACAAGGGGCATAAAAGGAGAGGGCAGCCGTGCAGGCGTGGGGGCCAGGCAGCGCACTCCAGAATCCACAGGAGACCGTCCTTGGCCTGCAGGGTCTGGAGAAACTTCCTTCCTGGTCCCGAGCTGTCCCTGTTCCCTGCAGGCCTTGGCTCCCGGGGCTCAGGCTTGTCCACCCTCACCTCTACCCTGCCTCCCTCCTGAGAGTGGCTGGGGTGACTGACCACTGCCCCTGTGTTGGAAGTGGGCGAGGCCCCCGGCTGCCGAATAAATGACCAGACTCAGAACTGGAGGAGAAAGGGCTTCTCAATAGTTCAAAACAAAGTCCCGTCACAGATGCGCCTGGGCCAGGAGCTGGCATCTGCCCACAGCGTGCCCTGCCCCGGGCACGGCAGCTCTGCCCTCTCTGCAGCCTCAGCACCGCCCCCACCCCCCCACAGGTGTGACTGGGCACTGGCTGGCTCTGTCCTGTGCTCCCCTGGGCCCAAGGCCAGCTGCCAGCTCGGGTCTCCCAGGGGGTAGCCACATGTCCCTGGCCACATCAACTTTAAGCCTTCTCATCAGCCCCTCCCACCCAGCCCCTGCCCCCGCCCCAAGCGTGGACAGAGCAGGTGCCGCTGTCTCCTCGGGATGCCTCCAGGCCTACCCTCACCAGCGTGTGCTGGGATGAACACGCCTACCTTTCAGCAGCAGCTGGAAGTCCTTGAGCAGTGCTTCGGGTGGGATGATGGGGCCTGGGGGACCCTGGGGTCCTGGAGGCCCAGGGGGTCCTGGCAGGGGCTAAAAGGGACTCTTGTCAGTGAGGGTACCAGAGGAGGCAGTGGCCGTGGCAAAGGTAGGCAAGGGGGCCCCTGGCGGGTTCTGGCCTCCAAGGAAGAGGCTGGCCCCCAGCCTCAAACCTGCTTTCTCCCCGAGAAGTGAGTGCGAGGACCGGTGAGTGCGAGGACCGGACTGTGTTGGGGTGTGGGGGCCCTGGGGAAGACTTGGGCAGGGGAGAGCTCTGAGGGTGGGAGCAGGGGACTGGGTTTCCTGCAGGGAGGGAGATTCCGGGCTGCTTTGGGGACTCGTGCCTCTGCTGGCACTGGCTGGAGTCAGCTGGCATCAGCAGCAGGTCCCCATGGTGCCAGCTCTGCCTGGGAGCAACCAGCAGGGCTGGGTCTGCACCCCACACGGGAGCACAGGGCAGACGCGGTCGCTCAGAGGGCGGTGGGTGGGGCACCCTGCCTCGGCTCAGGCTGGCGTTCTGTGGTTGGGCCAGGTCCGAGGTGGGCGGGGCCAGAAACCCAACACCCTACCATGCAGGCTGTCTTTGGGGCTCAGGAAAAGTCAGCCGTGGGGACCAGGTGCCAGCACAGGCCCAAGGCTGAGTGGGAGTGGGACCCCACAGCTGCAGGGCCTCATGCCCTCCACCCACCTGGAGCCCGACCACTGCGCCCGCCCAGCAGCCACAGCGCCCCGCCCTGGCTGGGATGAGCCCTGCCTGGTGCCCTGGTCTGGCAGGGGCCCACTTCACCTGTACCCTCCTGGTCTTGCCCCTGCTCCGCCTCTTGCTGTTGACACCCTTGTCACTTTGCCTGACAAAAAGCATCCAGGCCTCCCGGGGGTCAACGCTGAGTGCTTGCTTGCCGGTGGTCTCCTGGAAAACAGCAGCCTGCCAGGCGGGTTGGCTCACCGCCCCTGGAGCCTGTCCGTCAGGCAGTGGCACAGGGACGGCCCTCAGCACCCCAGTCCTGGCCCTTGTCTCCTCCAAGGCCCCGCCCCTGGACCAGGCCACACCAGGCAGGGACTGCAGACCCAGGGTGCTGGTGGAGGGAGGCGGGCTCGGAAGCTGGAGGGTCAGCGGGCTGAAGGGCAGAGCCGGATGACTGCTGAGCCTCTGGCCTGCAGGTGTGTGGGGGAAGGTGACGGATTGCTGGGGATCTCATGGGACGCTGTGGTGAAGATGGAAGCCTCAAGGTGCCCAGGCCCTCTGTCCCCACTCAGTGCGTCCCCACGTCTGGTCGTTCCCACGGACACCAGGTCTCATGGTGCCCTCCATGAGAACACGTGGCCCAGGGTTCTGCATGCCAGGAAGATGGGTGAGCCAAGCTGACCCCCCAGCTGGCCTGGTGGCCTGTGGGTGGACTCAGACCCTAGGTGGGTTAGGGGCTGGAACTTGCCCCTGTTGGCCAGGGCCAGGAGATGGGCCTGCAGCGGTGACAGCGAGCGGGCCCTGGGGGGAACCTGCTGGCCGGCTCTCCATGAAGGCTGGTGGAAAGGAGCCTGAGGGGCCTCTGTGACACCATGGCCCACCCCAGCTGGAAGCACCAGTCCCCGCTCTGCCTTCTGGTGACCATCCCAACACCCACAGGCCATGGGCCTGCTGTCTGCAAGGCTAGGGGCTGCCCTCAGCCCATGGGAAGTGGCTCCTCCCAGTGGAGGACTCTGGAAGGCCCGCCAGGGATCCCTGGCCAGTGCCACTCCCACTCCTCTCCTGCAGTGTCGTCTTGGTCATCGTGGTTCCAAGAGCCATGGCGCTGACAGAGGCCTGCCCAGCCCATCTCCTGGCCCTCCGGAGCAGCCCTCACCGCTCCTGGAGCAGCCCAGGGCCTCTGCTCCCGGTGGCCTCCACCAGCGGCCCTCAGCTCAGCCTCTCCACCGCGGAGAATGCGCAGGGCAGAGCCAGGACCCTGCCCGACGTCACTTGGGAAACTCACCCTGGGCCCCCCCAGTACACACCGGCTGCACCAGCTAGACTGGTGTCACGGTTTGCTCACACGGACAGGTGCTCCCAGTCCCCTGAGGATCCGGTTATTTACCCTTGGCTTATTTCCCGACTCCTTCCCGTTCCGGAAGAAAGGGACTTCCACCGGCTAGTAGAATTAGGCTTCGAAGGCATACCCTACCCAGACCGGGGCTGCCTTTCGCAGCGACCTTGGGGCGGCGTCTACACCACCGGAGCAGAGATGGTTCAGACCCGCTCCCGCCCCAAAGCAAGCGCCCTCCCGCGTCG